CGACGCCACCGCCGCCTGGACCTCTGCTGGGGAGACTGACTCGTCGAGGCCCCGAACGCGGAGTTCCGCGGTCTTAACCGGCCTCGCGAGCCGTCCCCCCTTTTCCAACACCAAGGGGAGCATGGCGTTATATAGCGCCTCCGCCTTGGTGTCGCTGCTCTCTCCGGGGATCTCCAGAACGAGGGCCCCGGTGAGAGCCCTCCTCGCGCGGAGGCCCTGGACGCCCAGTGGCTCCAATGCCACTTTGGAGCGTACGTACGCCAGGACCTCCCCGACAAAGCTCCCGCTGGCCCCCTCTGGAGCCGAAAGTACCACCGCCGAATAACGGGGTGGCCGGCCTAATCGGGGCTTGGAAGGAGCTGGCTTGGTCTTCCCCGCCCGCGTGTTGCCCGTTCCCTTGCCTTCGCCCCTGCCGCTGGGCGGTGTTGAGGCGGAGGTTTGGGGGACCGGCTTCTTCTTCTTTTTGCGTCCCACCACCTGGGACCAAGAGTCCTGTGAGGTGGTGGGAGCAACGGGCTGGGAGGCGGATGTGGAGGGGGCGAGCCCTTGTCCGGGTGTTCGGGGGGTGGCACTTGCCACCGGACCGGTTCCCGGCCGCTGCTCGCCTCCCTCCTTTCCCTTAGCCCCCTTCTTCCGTTTGGCCTTCTTCTTGGCCCTCGACTTCTGGGTCTGAGAGGGCCCAGAAGTTCCCTGTCCCGGTCGGACCGGGGGCAAGGGGACCAACGCAGTTGTCGCACCAAGTGCGGTTCGGCTGCCGTCCCCTGTCTCCGTTCGAGCCACCGCCACTGTCCCNTTCTGGGGACCACTCCCTAGAGTAGGGCGCAGCTGCCGATCAACGAACGACTGGAAAAACTTGTCCAGCCGTTCAGTGATCAGCCTGTCCATCGCGCGGGTGTGATCCCTCAGGAGGGACTTCGTGTCCTTTTGTTCCTGAGGGAGCACGGCCTGGCGCTCCTCCTCTCGTGGAGCCCCCGGACCCGGTGGAGGACCCACCGACCTGTCGCCCCCGTCTGTCTCCCTTTCTGGAGGGGGGGAGACGTCCATTTCCCGACCGGACCCCGGGCTGGAACCCCGGGTAGGTGCCCGGCGGGACGTTGGCCCACGCGACCTTGGTTTTCGCTGGGGGAGCGGAGATTCCCCCAGCGGGAGCGCCGGTTGTTCCCGCGGCTCGTTGGTGGGAGCCCGGAGCCCCGCCATCTTCAGCGAGGTTAGCTCTCGTCGCAGATCGCGGAGCTCCTCGTGTAGGGCCTCCACGTCGGCCTCGAGGGCGGTGTTTCTTCTCTGGACACTGTCCAGTTTGCGCTGGACAGCGTCCCGATCGGCGCGTATAGAGGAGACCGTCGCCCGCAACTCGGCAACCTCCCCGAGGAGCTGTCGGTTCTGGCCCTCCAACCGCTGGACCTCTCCACTAGTGTCCATGCGGCTGGCCAGAATAACAGCGGCCTCCTCCATGTTTACAGCCGCTTCCTTGAGGTTCTTGATATAACCCCCCTTTAACCTCTTCGAGGTCACCGCCATCCGCACCACCGCCGCCGAGAACTGCTTCGTCTTCTTAACGATCTCGGAGGTCGGCAGGTCGCGGACGATGATCTCCGGCACCGGGAGGGCACCACGCAACGGGGCGCGCTCCGTTGTTTGGGAGGGAGGAGGGGACGCCGCACCGGACGACCGGGTCTTTACCTTGATGGCGTCGAAGTCCTCCTGCATCTCCTTCTCCGCCTGGAGCTGCAGCTCCCTCTCCCTCTCGTCGTTGAGCCGCTGCTTTGCGGCAGCGAGCCCAGCAAATTCCCCCGTGGTTGGGGGCCTACCTCGCTTCCTCTTCTCCCCCACAGATGTATCCCTCCTGCGCGGAGGAGGGGGGGGAACGGGGGATCGCCGCTCTGGTTTTGCCCCTCCTTGACTCACAGAGATGACTTCGACCTCCATGTCGGAGTCATCCTGTGGAATGGGGACAGCGGCCGCGTCAGCCGAGGTACTCTCACGTGATGGCCCCGGTCGCGGTTCGCCCTGTGGCGGGACAGGGTGGTGTTTGTCCTCGCCATCTCCCTCCGACTCGTCGTCCGAAAACCACAACCTGCCGCGCGCGCGGCCGGTGCGGGGTCCGGAGAGATCACCCGCCCTTGTCCGCTGTAACTTAGCGGGACGAAGGACGGGGGAGTCGTGCTCCTCGTACACTGGTGTGGCACCAGTCTTCGCAGGCGTAGATTCCGGCGCCGCCCCTGCGGTGCAGGCGACGCTTAGCCCATCGTCAGATGACGACAAGAGGGAAGCTGGGACGATACTTCCCTCTCGCCGGCCGCTAGGGGTCCGATCCCCTTGCTGCGGTACGTTGCTCTCCTTAATTTGCGACA